AAACTAGAGACCTGAACCTGACTGAAGCTAGAGACCTGAACCTGACTGAAACTAAAGATCTGAACCTGACTGAAACCAGAGATCTGAACCAGATAAAAATGCAGTAATTTACTGCTGTCAAATTTCCTTTAATTCATAAAATGCCTTCATGTTATTCGTTTAACGAAGAAATGCATTTGTAATGATTCTGTGCAGCACAAGTCCTTCACCTAAGGAGAGTTGAGTCTTAAGTGCCACATTTAAAGAAGCTTCATTACTTTATATTTCCTGACAGTCAGAGCTGGAAGTTGTGAAGCTGCAGTGAAGCTGTTTGACAGAGCAGCTTTGTTCACATCAGTCCGTCTGTCTGCTGTTACAGCTCATCAGTTTATCTCTGCATCTCTTCTTGCAGCCGACGTCACGCCAACAGACAGACTGTTTGAATCTCCAACACTGAAGCTCTGCTGACCTTTTTCTATCAATTCAGAGAAAACAGGCGTGGCATTGCTCTGCAGTTGCTCAGAGGTTCCTCAGCAGCAGCAGTTGGTTTAGTCACAGCCTGTAAGATGAGAACATGAAGCCCTTGGATGAGTGTGAGAGGAGGAAACGTTAAACTGACGAGGTGTGTTGTTCTTATTGTGTTCACCAGGAGAGGATCCAGCTCGGTGGGCCGAGCCCTGAGGTGGTCGGCGTTCAGGAGCAGAGCCAGCAGAGGAGGAGCTTTTATTTCAGTCAGTGCAGCCGCTAAATATTTAAGCTGCTTTGTTTGGCAAAAAAAAAAAAAAAAAAAGAGTCCTAATTATAGTGTTTACAGGTGTTCTATTGGATCCAAGTCAGGCCACATACTTGTCATAGCTTTACCTTTCTTCTTGTGCAGAAACTGTCGTTTGACTTTGTGCTTTAGGATGGCTCTCATATTGGCACATTCTTCTTCTTCAAGCTTCTGCAGACCAAAGTCATCTTGTCAGCCAATATTTTGGTTTACAAGTCGTGGTTCATCTATAAATATCATTTACCAACACCTTTTGCACTCATACAGCCTGATATCATCACACTCCCGCCTCCGTGCATCACTGTCAGGACTATACATTCACTGTGGTAGTCCTGGTCAGGTTCACACCAAACATGCTGGACTCCATCTGAGCTCGACAAATTCAAAGGTAACTCCAAAGGTAAATCCAAAGAGTGTGCTCCCAGCATTCATCAGGCTTCTTTTCATGTTCATTAGCAAAGTGTCATGTGGTAGTTTTTTATTTTTTATTTGCAGGCAACCAAGGGTATGTCTTCTTGTCCATTTTTTTTCTTTTTTTGCAGACAACGCACATATTAATACCATTTCCTGCGATTTTGCTGATATCTGTAATTTAGCAGAACATAAAATCTGCAAAATTCCAGCAAACTGTTCAAAAATACATTTTATTTCATGTGCACAAGATAGAAAAAGCATAACGTCTTGGGACTTTGTGATCATTAACATTCTGTGATCCCAGCAGCCCATCTGTAAAA